TATTGCTTTGGTATACTACATGTATATTGCTTTGGTATACTACATGTATATTGCTTTGGTTTACTTAAGATAATCACAGACATTATCAAGCACGATGACGATAGGACTCAAATCAGTCTACTCTTCGCTAATCAATCCGAAGATGATATTCTCTGCAGGTTTGTACTTAAAGGTATTCTCAGTGTTGCCAATCATTTCGACTTAGGAAGGAACTGGATGAGTTAGCTTTAAAGCACAGCGACAAATTTCGAGTTTGGTATACGGTAGATCGTCCATCAGACGACTGGAAGTTCTCCAAAGGATTCGTGAATGATGAAATGATCAAGGTCCGTCTTTCATCACGAAAATGTTTGATTTCATCAACAACAAACGTTTTGGAATCAAATTTAGATCTTAAATTTGTTTTAGGAACATCTGCCTGGCCCTTCGGATGATTCTGCCGTGTTTATGTGTGGTCCTCCACCAATGATCAACATGGCTTGTATACCAAGTCTCGAAAGGCTTGGATATAATGCCAGCAACAGATTCCAGTTTTGAATCTTGCGTTCAGTGCTCTTGTCTGGTGACCAAAAAGTCGATGCAGTTAGGTTGCGGAAGCCTGTACCCTTATCAGGGTTCAAATTGCTAGATATTAATTCTTTTAGTTATACTGTAGTAGCAAATCGTTTTAAAATATATTGATACACAAAACAATTATATTGAATTTTGGAGATAGGTGCAAATTTTGGATTGAGGCAGTGTGTGAATATAGGAGTATTTGCTTGATTCTGTTGTTTGATACCATTTTGGAGAGTACTTAAGGAGTTTGTTCGGAGTAACACGTTGAATTTAATTTATCTCTGCGTACATTTATAAATTATCATAAAGTTTTTGAATCTCTTGATTGAATTTTAGCCTTGACTGGTAACATCTGCAATATCCATATTATTTTAAGATGAGGAGCTTTAGGCCTTAGGGTGCCTTACACTACTTCGTCACTCAGTGTTCGATCGCCCCGATGACGTTGGATGAACAAATTTGCGGCGGCTAAGCTGTTGCGTTAGTTGTACTGTAACGAACGTAAGGCGCGCAAGAATTCCTAGCCTTTGCCACCTTTCCTTTAGTAAGCATAATAGCCCTCAGTTACTCCCGCAGCATTTTACGACTTCCCTATAAGACCTTTTCCCTAAGTACATACGTCTAAATCTAACGGTAGTGTAAAATTACAAGGATCGCGTGGTTGTTTGCTGCAGGGAAAGGCGGCAAAGTCTTTGGGAACTCCTGCTATGCCGTCCTAACGAACTTTGCATACCCACTCTCCACATCACAAACCACGCCAATTCTGTTCTTCCTTTTTCTTTCGTCTTTTTGCAAGGAGCTATTCAGAATATACAAGTAAGATCAGGAAATCATGATGACATACAGCATGAGTATGACAATGCAATTGAAAAACATCCATACATGTTTCAAAACGGATTAATAATCGTAGATCACAGCAAAAAATGAGAGTAGACAACTTATCTTCAGTGTATCCAATTCATACAAGCTGAATTGCATTTCTTTCAAATGCAATTGTATCCCGGATAAGTTCAAACGAGTACTTGGAAAGTGGCAAAACCGTTTGTCGTAATGATTAGAAGACAAGCCACTAAGATTTGGTAAACCAGGTCATTAAAAAATTAAATATAGTGAGCCAAGGACTTGACTAGAAAAGGAAAAAAACTTAAAACTTTTGATTTCTTTGCCCTTAAACATGATTCGTCATGTCGCTCGATCTGATCAGGCGACGCGATTTTGCCCAATTTTCTTGAAATCGCGATGACTCCGTCGCGTGAGGTATGTCCTAGGAATGGGGCGCTATTCTGCATGCCAAGCAAAATGTAGCGACACGCAATATGCCAAATTCCTTAGTCGAGATACATTTACGCTTTTTGAAGCATGACTTTTCTGAGTGAGAGTGGAAGTTGTCAATTCGATTTTTCTGCACATTCACAAGTTCACATTCAGCAAGAGGTTCATTGGCTCTATTGTTAATTTTGGCTTACTTCCCTAGATAAGGCACACCATTGATGAGTTTCAAATTGACTGCTGTTAAAGCTCCGCTTCAACTACAGATCTTGCTAAGAACTACTTAAAGAAAGGAAGGAAGGCTTCAAAAACACGTTTATGATTACTATCAGCGCCAATCTTAGGTTTGCCCTTTAAGTTGTAAAAATATCCGCATGCTTCATTCTTCATCATTCTTACTCCCTAAAAAGATTGATTACTGCAATGCAAGAATGCAAGATGCATTTATTAAATGAAAAGGAATGTAAGACACATTCTAGGATGAAAGTTGATGAAGTAATCGAAATGTGAGGAAGGAGATTTCATACAGTGCAACATCTGTTATTTAGATTGGACTTCATACCGCATCTACTTTCACAGCGTACAAACGATCGCAGTTGATTGCGGCTACCAGCGAAATTTCGACCTTTAACATCACTAATATTGAGGCTCTAAAGAAGAAAATCAGAATATTACTTGTGCGTCTCCTCCACTATATGCGACGGCAACGTTACTTCCAATCACACCTTTATTGCTAGAGCTCGTAGAGAAGCTGCTGGATAACAGCGAAGATATGTACTAAATACCTCTTTTTGGTAAAGATCTTTTTATAGAAAGTGGAATTCGCCAATTGAAGGAAATTTTTAAAAAATAGAGCGAGCTTAAAACAATCAAAAATTACTAGTACTCTTACTGTCGTACAAAAAGTTAAACAATTAGATGCGTCATGAAACGTTACTTCGCATTTTGCCTTCATGATATGCTCATTCTTTAAAACATCAAGTTCCGGTCTAAAGTGATACTGCAGTAGTGCTTCTCTGGATGCATACTCTAGTTGGAAGTGGTGTTTTTTGTTAATGAGCTTGAACTTTTTGTTAATGAGCAATAAATGCAAGAAACCCCTCGTAACTTTTTCGCCGAATCGCTCGGCAGATAGAGGACATTATGTACAAATTTCTTTGGACGACCAAGGTTAGCTATTCTGGCATTGTTAGCACAATTTCTTATCATATGCAAAACAGCAAAGACTTCATTCTTTTTGATTTTGAAAAGGGTGATGAGATTATTAACGTGACGATAGAGATGGTATATTCTACTATCACATATGTAATGGTGATCAACACTAAATATGAATGCAAATGCCTCAGTATGCATATGAGAGAGGAGATAATTGTTGTCCACATTGTCGCTTGAGGAAAGATGAATGAAAAGGGCCTCAAGAGAAGTGAGGATTCACAGATAAGCTGGCAGAGAAACGGCAAAGAAGTATTGTCTTATCTGGAGATAGTCCAAGAAAGAAACACTTTTGACGGATTTTCATTCTATTAGCTTCGCCCGCTATAAGTGCTAGGGTTAATAAATGACTTAGGAGTGCGATGGTCGCCAACTTATCCTCTTGACACAGTGATACACTAGATCATAGTAGCCACGATTTGCAACAAATTCTCTTGTGGTATCAACTGCAGTGACCTTATCCCGCAATGTTGGCTTTAGCCCTCTTTTTCGGTTAAGAAGCTAAGGTACTGGTTCACGAAGCGATTAACTTGAAGCTTCCAAAGAAATAAATTTGCTTGAAAATAAAAACAAGGAAGCTGGAACAAAACGGCAGTTACGTACGGAGTTGCTTGATGGTGCGTACGGTAGTGAAGGAACTCCTTTTTTCGTGTGATCGTCATTCGCACCACTTAGTGATGAAAGTTGGTCTAGTATTCCATTCTAAAAGAATAATTTCTGTTCGAACTTCTAAAAGAGAATGTAATTTGGTACCAATGAAGAACAGCGGTCACTTTTTGAAGTACAGTTGAAACTGTCGTAACTGTGAGTGAATCTGCAAAACAGAAGTTAAAGTTATGGTTACATAATTGTCAACGATACAATGTGTTGCAGGAACTATTGGATTTGAGAAAGTGGATCAATTACCATTAAATACTGAAGCTGGCTTTTTGAATAAATTTATAAGGGAATGGAGTGTGGACATTTGAGATGTTGGTAAACAGGATTTTTGACGATAATTCCAAATTTGTGTCTGTATTTGCGAAATGGTTCTTAGGAGAGAGTTATTGGAGCGAGTTTTGACCGGAAAATCAACGTGACTGAACATATTAGGAGCTCGAGAATGAACTCATCAGGTTGATCGCAGCAGTATGAGTTCGTTGTTTTAATTTGACGCACTCATTTGGAATCCTCGGTATCAATTTTTGCGATTTATATGAATGTCTGCTTCACCATGTATTGCCTGGAACGAGATTTGGACATTATTTGGACGTACTTTGTACTAGTAAATTGCTCATTTACGAGGGCTCAATAAATTCAAAATTTCAGACACTGTTGCACCTCCGCGCACTACAATTTCAGAATCGGATTTTGCCGAAACTTTGTCCAGACGGACTATTTGACAAAGGTCAAAATCGCATAATACCGAGAAAAGTAGGAGATTTGTCTGAAATTCTGGTCACCAAATCAAGGTATGAAGTCTGGTCTGGCTGGCTCAAGCTGCACGTTATAGGAAATGCCAAGTTAATTGTTTGCTTGAAGATATTCTCAAGCACATATGCCTCGGCCCTAAAGTAAGAAGATAAGGCAATTAATGTGATTTTTGCTTTCAAAATGTCAAATTCTTTCTGTGCAAAGTTCCAGGAAGTTAAACATTTTGAGAGTTCGAGGCGCTGAAAGTGCAATTTATGCAATGTGCAATGGTGTAATGCAATTTTAAGTGAAATTTTTAAGATTTTAAATTAAGCAAACACTCACATTCAAGCGATTTACTATTAGAAAATTCAGTGTCTAACTCGTTCTAAGCAATGCTTTTTACATACATATAAACGCATAAGGGTAACACATGGGGAGAGCGAGGGAGGAGGGGGATTGAAATTAAGTGCATCACTCTAGAACGCGATAGCTCATCACCGCGCTATTAAATCAGTTGAGTTCCTCCTCAAATTGCTGGTCGCTGATCCACTTCGATTTTCGACTGACTCGCATTCATAATTCTCCTCCCGGATTCGTTTCGCAGATATGCACATGAATTTGAGATTACTTTTTGAACCTCTTTACTAGCATACATCTCATCTCAAACGTCCAATATACCTATTAACGCCCCTTTGTTGGTCTACCTTCTATATGGGTTCCTGAATCAAACAAGTTCCGAAATTTTTGAGTTATCTCTGATCCTGAAGTCAAGAGATTGTTCTTCGTGGCATCTGTGTACTACGAAAGTTGAAGAAACAAGAATGCAGCATACTGAA